TTACAGATTTCGGAGTTGCAACCTGAATATTGTCATTTCTGGAAGAAGCACTAAAACGAGGCACGAATGATTTTTTTTTAAATTCAACTTTGGGATTGTGAGAAACTTCGTGATTTTGAGATGAAACATTTTTATTTTTATTTTTATTTTTATATTTCTGATCAGAGTGTTTTATAATTTCCAAAATGTATTTAACGGCATCGTCAACATTTTTTCTATTACGACCTTTCACAGTTACTATATGGTTGTCACTATTTATATGTACATTGACGTTGAACTTTGTTTTAATGCTTTTTATGTTGGAGCCGTTTAGGCCAATTATGGCACCAATGTAAGCTGGGTCAGTAGGAAATTTTTCTATAATCTCATTCAAATTGGACATGTTTGCACTTAAAACTCCATACACATTCCTTTTAGGTGGATCATCATCCCACATTATTTCCAAATCATCCATTTTGATGTCAGCAAAACCTACAAAAAAGAATACCTCAATATTATATTCATTTTTACACAAAACCAACTAAATTTCAAACATTCAAATTGAACCAATTTTCACGAAATCACGAATTCACGAATTCACGAATTTACGAATTCTCAATCATATCAAATGAAACGGTTTTTGAAATTAACTATTAAAAGTAGAAATATGTGTTCTTATAAGGATTATTGAGAGATAAAGCAATGCCAGTTTTTTGTTTTTGATTTGTATGTTGAAAATCATGCTGTCACTTTCTTAAGTCTCATCACGCAGTGGCTCTATTGTTTCTTGTGACTTTTACTAAAATTCATTCCTATATAAAATGGTAATATGTGAAATGCAGATTTTATTTTTTGCAAATAGGGTCACATAACCTTAAAAACACCATTGCTCAAACAAACAAGTATTTTTAGAAAATTTCATTATTAATTGAAAATATTTAATTGAAAAAAGTTGCACATATATTCGATTTGAAGTCCCGCATTTTATGAAGCAAAATACATACCAGTAATAAAACTAAAACCGAAACTTAATCGAAAAAACACAAGCCAAAAAACGATTCGACCACCGACGCGTCTCTTGAAAAAGTAATAAATGTAGAAGAAAACTTGTTCCGTTCCCGTTCTTTCAAAATTAATATAAGTATATTTGGCAGCCCATACACAGATTTGCTTGAGATTGATGTAACTATATTAATTTGGTTTATGCTTTATGTGCACAAACCAATTTCACAAAGGAATATTCATTTGAAATGATTACACAATCCGATTGGCACATTATTTAATAATGTAAAAAATCCACATACAATTTTAATACTACATGTGTTCAATAATAAAAGTTTTATCAATGTTCTGGCAATTTCGTATGACTCATTGCTGACGTTTCTTATTAATGAACCGGTCAGCATTCTGATAAGAGCGTCTCTTTATATAATTATACACCTATACCTCGGTTAACAGCCATTTCGTGCAACAGTAGACTCGATTAACGATCTAGCCGTATTTCTGACAGTGTTTCGCTTAACAGTGAAGAAACCGATAAATATGCCTTTTATAATGCAAGCAATGGCTGGTTTAATGATCGATATGCCAAAAAGTTTTCTGGAAGAAGTACAACATTATAAATTCTATTGTAAACACAGACAACAGTGCATTCACACAGTCTCGTTTAGCCGGTTTTGCACATTATAATCACTAATGAGTATGATATACCATACAAAGAGCTTTCATTAAAAAGGAGCTCATTTACTACAAATCAGCACATTTAAGACCAAAAATGTCGAACGCAACCCTTAAAACTAATGGTTGATTTGCTTGTTTGTTTATTCAAAATCACGAAAGAACAGCAGTGAGTTAGAGTTTCGGGAGAGGCGCCATCCAACTAAAAGTATTTCCAGGGCCCATCATGAAATGAAGCATCGTTGCTGCCGCCATGCTCATCTCCACGTCCATCGGCAGATCCAATATGATCTTCACATACATCGCTATATCCAATATCTATGTCGGATGACTGTGAAACACCTGCAAAAGAAAGAAATAAAGATAATATAAATGAAACTCTTTTGCAACACTTTCAGAATCTGATAGATGTGGAGAACCGTCACATCGCACTGCAAAAATGCACAGACGCAAGGTTTTTGAATTTAATGGAAGCAAAAAATGTTGCTTTGTCGGCTATCGCATCATCAAAGGAAAGAGGCTTTCCATATATCCGGCTCACTGGAGACAATGACTCAAGCAATGACTATGCATATTTGTTGCGGTCAACTGTTATTATATATTATAATTTCTATTACCATAATATGTTGAAGCCAGTTGAGTCAGTGCACTTAAGCACTTTTACTCTCTATTAACTGCGAGGTTTCTGCAAAACCCCTCTCTACGCCCTAACTGGATTATTGTATATCTCTTCATCAAACTAAGCAATAATTTACCTAAGATCTGCATACCTCTTCGAGGAGCCCGTAACCATTCTAAGATTCGATAACGCGGTGTTAGTAAGTCTATCAGTTTTCGTAAATAATTTCAGGTCCATATCCTTCATATATTTTTTGATCGGATCAATCTTAATCTTGATCAATCTTATCACTTCATCAGACTTACCAATAATTACGCTTAGATCTGCATACCTCTTCGAGGAGCCCGTAACCATTCTAAGATTCGATAACGCGGTGTTAGTAAGTCTGTCAGTTTTCGTAAATAATTTCAGGGCTCTATCCTTTATGTATTCTTTGATCGGATCAATCTTGACGTCAACATGCTCTTGAAATGTTTTGCTTGTGTTGAGAACACATTTATCCAGGTATAGCATATACGTGTCGTCAGCGTATAACACCAAAATCGATGGACCTAACATTGGGATATTAGATGTATAAATGTTGTAGAGAGTGGGAAAAGTGGAGATCTCTGAGGAACCCCTGTTTCTATAATTCTGATTGACGAGAGATCGCTGTTGATTTTCGTGCGAAAGGATCTCTCACGTAAGAAGCTGCCGATGATTTTAGTTGGCCTGCCTGGAACACCTAGATCAGACATTTTACTATCAGGCCATCATGCCAGACCTTGTCAAAAGCTTTATAAATATCAAAAATGATCTTTCCAGTCGACTTTCTTCCACTAATGGCTGTTTGAATCATTTCGGCCGTTCTAGCTAGTTGAAGTGCCGTGGACAGGTCATTATTATCCGGTTTAGGGAAGACAATGACTGTGGCCAGCTTCCAGGTCTTAGGAAATTCATCTAGCCTGAGCATACAATTAATAATGTTAGTGATAAGCTGGATTGCGTTCTCTGGCAGGTTACGTAGGCATCTGTTGTTAATTATATCATGGCCAGGTGCCGACCTAATCTTCAATCTCGCTATAATTTGGGAGATTTCTTCGTTACTGCATACTGCAGTGCCATCATCTGGCTCCTGATCCAAAATATTATTTGCCTCCTCGGAGATACGTTCTTCTTCCTCTGAGTCATATTCTAAGTCTTCATTGGGCTGGAATTCAAGTTCAAGGGTGTCTGTGAAGGTCACGGCTTTTTCTAAATCTGTATATACCAAGCCTGTTACTCTATGGATGGGTGGTATTACTGGTTTACGCTTTAGGCTGAAGTACTTATTTATGACCCAGAAGGCTGTTCCAAGACCCTTGAGAAATTCACCCTATTTCACGTTTTTAAATATATAAATCTTTTTCCTGATTTCACTTGAAGGACGGTTGGCCTCCCTTCTGCTCTCCGGGTCACCCGTTATTTGAGTAAATTTCCGGATTCTATTTTGATTTCTAATCATGTTTTTAATAGGCTGCGGTAAGTTAAAATAACTGTATGGTTTCCTATATTTGAGGGTGGAGCTATCAGAGGCATGCTTTAATAGATGGGCCAGGTTCTGTATACAGTTATCCAATTTTTCTGAGGTTTCTGGATGGTTTTTGATGCAGCTAACGTCTACCAAGTTCTTGAGCGCGTTCCAGTCGCTGGTAGATAACGTAGGGGTCATAGTGTTCATGGAACAGTTCATGGGAAGAATGAATAGAACCGGTTTATGATCAGAGTCTAGCTCATCTAAAACTTTCATATGCAGGGTATAATCTAGGTTGGACATGCCGAGGTCTATTATATGGCCTTGGCATGTCTATTATATGGCCTGCTTGGTTCCACAAACGGTCGGGTCTACGTCCCGGAGCCACTCGTCATCAACGACGACCAAGAATCGTTTAACATCCCCCAATAGGACTCTTCAAGTGATTGGAATTCTTGTAATGGCTGGTGTCACCTTAGACCTTGCTCCGGATTGGTCTCGCATCATGGTTGGAATTCAAATTTCATTGGCAATTGCTGCCAAACTCCGCCTATTATTCCACCACAAAACCACTCACACCTGCAACGTACTAGCGTAGTCTCCGTAATTAATTGTTCATCCCCTCTCAAAATTCTACAATTCAACTGTAATGGTCTAAGAAGGAAACTATTTGAAATTGCAGCATTCATGTCCTCCAACAACATTGCAGTAGCTGCACTGCAGGAGACTAAACTTTTGCCCAACTTCCCTCTCTTTCCCCCCTCAGGCTTTACACTTATTCGTAAAGGTCGACCTAGAGGCGCAGGAGGTGGCGTTGCTTTTCTGTTGCGGGATTCTACATATCATTTTGAGCTTTCTTTGCCCTCGTCTAATGACGAATACTTGGAGATTATAGGGTTAAAAATTTTCATTGGTAGGTCTTTAAGGTTCCTTGAACTAATCAATATCTATTTGATATCCAACTCTAGCTGCCCTCCGCAGCACACCCCAAATATTTCACATCTTCTAGATGAGGACTCGCGTTTTGTTCTGGGTGATTTGAATGCACACCATTCCCTCTTTTGGTGTTCTAAATGAGGACTCCTCCACTAGGGTAACGCCAACCTGTTCCAGCTCTCCTGATGTCAGTCTCGCAAGCCCTCGGCTTCTCGCTGCCTCGAATTGGAGTGTTGATATAGCTTTAAGCTCGGATCACACTCCCATCACAATTTCTATTCCATCGATCGAGGTCCTCACTGCGGCTGACAAGAAAACCTACAGGAATTTCAAAAAAGCGAATTGGGCCCTTTTCAAAGATATTTCAGAACGCGACTTCAGCAACAGTTCCCTGTCCTCTGATTTGAACAAGGCAGAGAAACAATTTCGCAGCATAATTATCAAAGCTGCCGCCACAGCTGTCCCAGCAGGTAGAATTAAAACCATTAGACCAGGTTTTCCTAGTGACGCTGTGCCTCTTGCTGAAGAACGCGGCAATCTTCGAAGATTGAACCCAACCAATCCACACATAAAAATCCTGAACAATAACATCCGTAAAATGGTGGACGATTATCGTCTTAGTAAATGGAAGGAACATTTAGATAATTGCGACCTCCAAAATGGTAAATTGTGGACTACCATTAAAGCACTTTCTAATCCTCCCTCTTTACTTCCTGGACTAAAGAGGAATTCTTGACTCTGCCCATAAATATCGGTGAAATCAGGATCCCTACCACCACCAAACCTAAAATCCTGGGTGTCGTACTCGACAGTATGCTGACTTTTTCTGCACATGCGTCTGCTATGTGTGACCGGCTGAAATCGCGTAATAATGTGTTAAAAGCTCTCGCAGATTGTTCATGGGGCAAAGATGAAGAAACCCTACTGAGTACATACAAAGCAATAGGACGTCCTATTGCGGCCTATGCAGCTCCAGTATGGACCCCACAACTCTGCGAGACGCAATGGACCAAAATCCAATCATGTCAAAACACGGCATTACGGGCTGCAACTGGCTGCCATAGCATGTCGCATGACGACCACCTTCATGCAGAATCAAAAATGCTTCTTGTAAAAGAGCACAATTATCTACTGTCCCAGCAATATCTTCTCGCGTGCCACACAGATGGTCATCCAAATGGCGTCATGACTAGTAGTGCCTTCCTTCCTAGATGCATTCGTCGATCTCTCCTTTCTTTTAATAATTCTATCGACACCTTTTGTAACGGAGCTAACATCAGTGAGGTCGAATATAAACGTGGACTTACGGCTCTCAACACACCGATGCAGTATCTTCTTCTAGACCTAGGTTGTCTGACAACAAGGTTTTTAATAGGTCTCCGCCTGAAATCTCCTCGGATGAACGCTCTCTTCCTCGTGCAACAAGAACTGTCCTTGCTCAATTGAGATTTCAATTGAGACTCACCCCATTGAAGTGGCCAAGTTTCTCCGGCTGGATCCAGGATGATGATTTATATATACCTCTTCCCTACTCTTCCTCCTCCTTCTCCTTCATTACCCAACTAACT